TTCAGAAGTCACACCTTTCTTTGTCTAGGGCCTAGTACACTAGAGACAAAGGCAAATTCCCAATACACGTTTTTCAGAACGAACTTAACAAAAGAGAGATTATTATATTGTGAAGGGATAACGTGAGGACTGCTGAGCTATAAAGCTGACTGTCCCTAAACTACATGGCCCCAGACCACTCAGCATTTATAACTAATCTACCATTTCCTCAAATACTGTTATTTGGAAATATTTGAGGAAATATTTCCTCAGATATATGTTAGTTCTCAGTGTTTCTGCTTCTATAGCCCCTTTCTACTTCTACTTCTACTGTCTATAAGAGACCTAGTTTTTATATTACAATATACCAACTGCAAAGGGCTTTGAGCCACCGCATTTGCACTGGAACGTGCCTCAGCACAATACTTTGCTTCCATACAGACTGGATGATGGCAAACAAACAAAATGCTTTAAGCACACTGAACAGGTTGTGCCCCTACTTTGCCCCTACTATCTTACTCATTCAACAAATATTTGTTGAGAGTCTACCATGTGCCAGGCTAGCCTGAATACTAAGAATAACAGCAGTGAGCAAAACAAATGCAGGCACAAGAACAGTGCTTGTTTTCACAGAGTCTTCCTTCTAATGATATTTGAGAAACACAAGCAAGAGAAATAACAGATAATCTGAAAAGCAGTGGTAAGTGTAAAGACAAAAAACAAAGCATGATGCAGAGAATGAGAAGGGTGCTGCTATGTTATGGTGGTCAGAGCAGCTGTTTCTAAGAAGCAGACCTCCTCTGAGCAGAAGGAAGCGACAAAGTCAGGACAGGAGCCATTCGGATATCTGAGGGGAGATATTTAAGGTGAAAGAAGAAGAAGCGAGGGCAAAGGCCCTAGGGAGAGGGGGGGACAGAAGTGGGTTGGTATGTTCCAAATTAGCATGGACACCTGTGTGGCTGAAGCAGCAGGAGTGAGATGGACGAGGTCAGCAGGTAACATCAATAACCCCTGTACTAGAGAGGTAAACAAAGTCACACTGCACAAATAGACACACCTAGAAAAAGGCAGTAAAGGCAATTGATTAGGAATGTCTGTTTTATCAATATATAACTTCTTTTAAAAAAAGATAAACGTTCTGGGGCACCTGGGTGGCTCAGTCGGTTGAGCATCCGACTCTTGGTTTAGGCTCAGGTCATGATCTCAGGGTCATGGGATCGGGCCCCACGTCAGGCTCAGCGCAGAGTCTGTTTGAGATTCTCTCTCCCTCTCGTGTTCTCTATCTCTCTCTCACTCTCCCCCAAATAAATAAATAAATAATCTTTTTTAAAAAAAAGAAAAAGATAAACATTCTTACAAAATTATAACTGAAAAATCTGCAAATGAGGGCCAGGCTGAGAACTAAAGAGTTGAGTTCACAGGTTGGTAAGAACACATAAATGGATCTCAGAGGAGGAGGCTGCATGTCTGGCCTGGGGCCAGCAGAATGGCCCACTCCGAGCAGACCTCACAGGGACCTGTTTGGAGTGGTGGCCCTAGAGAAAGTGGTAGGACCTATGGTTGACAAGAGCATCACCATATACAGATAAGAGTGACGGCTTTCACAAAAACACCACCAAAAACGGGTAAAAAGACAAGTTAAAAGTTCTCAAAGTAACTTCTACGTCATAAGACGACAGCATCACGAGCAAACCCAAGTATTGGGCCCATCAAACAATATAGCTCTGCTGCTGGGGGGCCAAGTGAAGCCCCACCATTGAGCTGAGTCACGGGGGTCTCATTCAGCCCCTCAACAGTAACACTGTGAGAACTGATCCATGTCACAAATTCTAAGTGTTACGCTTTCAACTCTGGCATGCCAAACCATGTTCTTTGTATTACACTGGAAGATGTATTTTTCAATCAGACTTTGAAGATTAGTATCTCAGAGAATGAATATTTTATCAAAACATCCAACCTGTCTGAGAAGCAGTATCCACTAACTACTTAAAAGTCAAGCTTTATTACAAGTGAATTCCTACAAATTCTGGGAGTTTATCTAAACTACTGCAGTTGACCCTGTCCTCTTAATAATAAAGAATCATTTCAAACTTAGTGTACAGATCTCTAAACATCTATCTATGCTCTTGGTAATCACTGGTTTCCAATATTAATAGAATGATCTCACAGTCTCATAAGAAATGTTTAAGTGAGTTCTGAATTGCCCTCGGTGGCCACGAATGCTGCACTCCTCTTGCCACGCACCTGCTGATGCAACACGGGCATGCCGATGTTAAACATACCAAGTCTACAGTGAGACTGATGATGGTCAGGAATGAGAGCATCCCCGCTTTTCAAGTTCATATTCCCCTTAAGTCAGAAGCTGATCCACAACACTGCACTATGGTTATAGTACATGAAACATTTAAATAGTAATTTGGTTTCACATGGCAACTGTTACCAAGACAAACCTTCTTGTACGATGGAGTTCCAAGAACATTAAATCATAAGAAATTGTTTCAGCAGCTGGTTAAAGCTGAGTGTACATAATACAAGACATCTGGTTGTCTGTGCATTTTCAGTTCATTTAAAAAGTATAAACACATTAAAACACTGAAATGTTTGATATATTACAACACTGGCTCCTTGCTCCTCAAGAGTGTTTAAGCGACTGGTCTATTCACTGTATTCAAGCCTTATTTACTAGCTAAAGAGATTAACTACTTCCATTCCCCTTAACTTCACCAAGACATTTTATTAACAAAGGAGGGGGAAAGAATGTACTCACTGAGGATATACACTAAACTGCTGGTATTTAGTAATGACATAAACATAACAGAGATGGAATTATTTTAAAAATTACGTCAAGAACAGACGAAGCATCGCATATACAATGGCAAGTAAATAGGAGACCATCTATGTGCTCCCGTTCCCACATCTGACCACATGTAACAGAAGCCTGACCACAATGGCTTAACGAAAGTGTTTATTTTTTTTTCACTTAAGAAGAAATCCAAAGATAAGCCGTCTAGGGCTGGTGTAAGAGCTCCACAGTATCATTACTATCCCATGCTCCTGGGACCCTCTTTGCATGTGGCACTCCTCATCATTGTTTCAAGACGGCCCCAGCACTGCCTCCACATCCCAGGAAGGAAGAGAAGGGCAGCGGGCAAAAAAGCCGGAGGTACATGCTCTGCAAGCTCATGACTTCTGCTTACACAGCATTGGCCCAAACCATGTCACGGGGCCACATTTAGTTCCCGAGGTGCTTGAAAACTCAGCTGGGCACACACCGGCCCCCCAAACAATACTGGAGATGTGTTAGGCAGAAGGCGAGAAAGGGTACCAGAAATTCAAGTTAACTGTGTCTGCACACGAGATCCACCTACATGGGACGTTTTCCCCTGTGCCCTTCCCCACCAGGTGATTCCTCCATTGCTTCAGCCCTGCCTTCCAGGCTGCACACCAGCAGACCTGAGCTTGGTGGTTCTCGTTTCTAAATCTAGATTACAATTCTGGATGCTGCACTCATGCACAACAGAGGCCAGAGGCCATCTTCTCATGAACACCTGGTCCTTCCTTTTTGGGCCACAGGCAAGCAGCACACATCCAATCCTAACCCCGTGTTCACAGGGATTCTGTTATGATCAATCTTAAACTCTTCTTCTTTATTCAAAAAATAATTCCTTTAAGGGGCGCCTGGCTGGCTCGGTCAGGAGAGCACATGACTCTTGATCTCAGGATTATTAAATGTGAGCCCCACGTTGGGTGTAGAGATTACTTAAAAATACAATCTTTAGGGACGCCTGCGTGGCTCAGTCATTAAGCATCTGCCTTCGGCTCAGGTCATGATCCCGGGGTCCTGGGAATCGAGCCCCACATCGGGCTCCCTGCTCAGCGGAGAGCCTGCTTCTCCCTCTCCCACTCCCCCTGCTTGTATTCCTTCTCTCCCTGTGTCTCTCTCTAATAAATAAATAAAATCTTAAAAAAAAATACAATCTTTAAAAAAAATAGTAATTCCTTTAAAATATGCATTCTCAGGGGGTGATACCACCAAGAGAGTGAAAATTGATTCTTTAGGGGGTGAAAAACTTCATAGACAGTATAATGATCTGTGGCCCTCCAAAGAGACATTCAGTGTATCTGGGGTATTCAAATTTCATTAGTGGGGAGAGGCAATTACAAAAATGTCTGAAAAGGCTCCAGAGAGGGACAATTTAAAAAAAAAGTTGAGAGTAACTTCTTTAAAAGGAACATTTTATAGCATATAAGAATTGCGTTCAGCTGGAGTGACAGAAATCCAGTTCCAGGAAACAAATAAGGATATGTTTTTCTCACATGAAAAGTCTGGGGTGGAAGTGGCGAGGAGGCACTGGTAGTAATGACTTTGGTTCAGCAGCTCAATGAAATCAAAGCAGAATTTTCTGTTGGTCTCTGGGCTCATGGTGCCAAGAGGGCTACACAACTCCCAGTACGTTGACTACATTCCAGACAGCAGGAAAGAGGACTGCCAAGAACAAAAAGATATGCCTTCTAGCTGAGGCAGGTCCCCGTACCCAGAAGTTTCATTGGAAGATGTCCCCCTACATCTCAGGGCACCTAACTTCAAAAAAAACTGGAAATGGAAATCCAACCTCTCCGAAAGAGGTCGGAAATCAGGAAGTAAGTAAGAAGGAAGAGAATCCTGGGTGGCTAATGAGCTGCCTCTATCACATATGGGTTAGATTCTCTTCCACCTGTTAAAAGACATCTGTAAGATATCACTACAGAGATTAATTCTGTGCCTATCATTTGCTCAATATTCCTAAAGAATTTGATTAGGTTCTCCTTATAACATAAAATTCTTGTTTGATAATGCATAGTCAGAGTACAAGTATCATTAAGCAAAAGATACAGAAGAACTCCACAGATGGACACAGAGGCATACATAAAAGGCATACATAAAAATACAATACCAGGACCCACAAACTCTTTGACATGATCAATCACCATTTTCAATATACAAAGAAGATAAAGCAAATCCTGGCTTGGCCAGAACTTACAGGAGTGGAATATCAGTGATTAACTGCATCAAACAACAGAGCAATTCTTCCAAAAGATCTTCAGAGTCAGAACCTGGTAAGACACACAAAAATTTTTTTAACAAAATATAAACTAGAGCTTTTTAGAAGTTCGGTCTTCATTCCCAGTGAGAATAACAACAGTTATTATCACAGAGACTCAGAAACTAATGTTGACCTCTAATAAAATCCAAACCATGAGCAAGTTAGTACATACTACAATCTTCACCTAGTATAGGAATTCTGAACATAAGCTATTAATTATATAACTTTTAATGTGTCAAAGTCTCTTATGGTTCCTGTAGACCAGCAGTTTTCAAATCTCCTATTTTATACTGTGGTTTTTTCAAATGAAATCCTTTAAAGTGAAATATACCAAATAGAAAAAAAAAAAAAAAATCAAGCTGCCCTAGCAGCTTTGTTTGAATCAGCAGAACACCTGTACCTCTTTCCCCCAGTAAATATCTGATCAAACACTGGATCTCCTTGATGGGCCTCAAAGCACCTTTTCTGAACCTATGGGGCTCCACAGATCACAGACTGAAACCCACTGAGAGGGTTTCCACCTCTTTACAAATAAAGAGCCAGAGGTAAAATGGCTTTCCCGTCACAGAGTAAGTGGCAATGGTAGGATGCAAATTAGCATTCCTGAAGAAATGCTCCTCTCTCCCCAAACTGCTCTAAGTGACCGTCTCATCTGCAAAGCCAACAAAGCTCAGGTTACTTCTGGCTTTGGACACTGACACCTACTCCTTCATGAAAGTCTTCTTACCCTCGGTTCCTACAACACCTTGTTTCCAGTCTACTTCTTTTCGACTCATTCCCAGGATCTGCCTCCTCAGAATATCTTTCAACTAATCGTATATTCCCCAGAGTTCCACCATTGGCTTTCTCCTCTTCCCACTCCCTATGTTCTCTTTCGTCAACCATTACTTCCACACCGGTGAGTCCTACAGTGACAGCCGTCCTCTTGGCCTCTCCAATGGACTCCTTCTTATCTTTATATCCAATTGCCTACTGGCCATCTCCACCTAGATGCATCACTAGCATCTCAAACTCCAAATGTTCAAAACTGAACCCACCTTTCCCAATACCTGAAATCCGCTCATTGCTCCTTTCTGCTTCCTTTTGGTGACCAGATCAAGAACCCAGGGCCAAAGCCCAGACTACTCTCTCGTATGCTTCTTTAACCAATCTCTAGGTCACTCGATTGCACAGACTACCTCTCTGATGTTTCCTCTTTTCTGCATACCTCATCATGCCTTTGTTCATTATTTCATCATCTCAGTTCAGTTAAACCAGCTTACTAAATTAAAACTCACTCCTGAACTTCTTTCAACCTTCCTAACTAGTATTCCCACATCCAATCTTACTCCTCTCCAACCCAAACTCTAGACTGCTAATTAAGGGAGCTAACTAAACTCCCTTCTTCCCTCCCCTGGCTTACATCTTTTCAACTGCTTTAAGCTGAACACTAGGTATCAGAAAAAACTCAAGTGCTAAAGTACAGCATGCCAGACACTTGAAGACACAGACCCTGTACTCCATTCTACCATGATCTCCTCTCCATTACGCACAATTTATATTCCAACAATATCCAGCTACCTGCTACATGCCATTTCATGCCTCCTCAATAACATTCCCTCCGCCAAGAATGCCCTCCAACAATAAAAACCTGACTTTTTAAAAAGCCAATCTTTATTTACCTGAATCATCCTCAGTCCTCCTCTCCTCCATAAAACCCAACTCTCCTGCCTCACTCTGAAAAAAAAAATAATCATCTACAAAGAATCTTGCCTTGTACATGTCTTTCATTGTATACATAGGTTACATTATACCATAATTTCTGTCTATATGTGGGCAGACCCCTATTGGACTCTATCCTTTTTTTTTTTAAGGTAGGCTCAAAAACTAATAATGTAATGTGTGGTGATTAACATAATAAAATAAAATTAAAAAAAAAAATGTAGGCTCCATGCCCAGCGTGGAGCCCAATGCAGGGCTTGAACTCATGACCCTAAGATCAAGACCTGAGTTGAGATCAAGAGTCGGATGCTTAACCCAGGCACCCCTGGACTCTGTACTTCTTGAGGATGATGACTGACAAAGAGCTTAATATTTAATACATAACGTATACTCAAAACATGTTTGCCGAACCAAACCCAGGGTCTACTACAAATCTAGTGGTTATTTCCAAAGCATCAAAGTACTTGGAATTTCGAAATTTAGCAATTCTTTTTTCTAGACCACAATATCACCTGGTATTCAGAAATTATGAAGAAATTCCTTCCTGCCTTGCCATAAATACAACTGGCACAGTAACCCTCCGAGAAGTGAGTACAGAGCTTGAAGAAAATACTAAATCACACTGAAAGCACCAATCAATGCTACAAAGAAAACATGGCAAGAATCAAGTTCAATAACTACATTAAATCACAATCTAGAAGTTCCTGGCTTAGCTCAACAAGAAAATAAAATTTGGAAATAAGTAACACTGGTCTCTGAGACTACGAAATAAAAAGTAGATGTAACTAAAATCCTTCTCATTGCCAAAGCGGTCCGACATAACCCAAGTGAGTCAAGAATCTACTCCAAGTTGATCTGTTGGCATATAACATATACCTAAGACAAGCTTGCTGAAATGTAATTCCTTGGCTCATCCTACAGAATGCAGTGACCCAAACCCAAGTAAGGACATTTAAAATCATTCCCTGATTCCCTAAAGAACATTCCAGACCAAATCAGCAGGCCACTTTAACAGCATACCCCTGTTCAGCCATGTAGTCAGAAGTTTTTTAATTACGGAAAGTGAGGGAACAAATGCTAAGGACCCACAGATGGTTGGATTTTTTCCTCTCAGGGGTATAAACACATCTCACCCTGAAATCTTAACACAGTGAAGAAGATTCTGTATTCTATTCCATATGCTATCTAAACCATGACTTCTGTCAAGATTACAGCTTAGGTCAATTAAGGAATATATTCACAACTTTGTTATCAACTTAATAATGAAAATGATGATAAATATATTTCTTACAAGTGAAATGTATCATTTCAAGGCTAAAACTCTAACAACAAAAGAACAGGGAATTTCCAGTTGAAATCTCAGACAACTTCTGTTTACTAAAACAAAAACATCCCTACAGAATACCATATTCTTATTTCTGGGAATAATCTAGAAGTAAATAATTGTGTATCAAGTGAAGAGTGACAAGATTTGACTGCCTACCAGGTCTGACATTAAGCAAGTCACTCATAGTGCATTCTTTAACCAAGCAACATTTATATTACTCAACTACATTGGAAGCCAAATATCTTCCTTAGCGCCAATAAAAACAAGTAAATATAAACTCACCTGCCAAAAATTAGAGTAACACTCATGCACTTATCACAAGAAAGAGAATCTGAAAGGTCCCTGAAATCTTCAGGTCAGTGACAAAGTAAACTGAAGATCTTTGAGCAAAGGACTCTGAAGAGATTCAGTATGTCTATTGTGAAGTTTTAAACCCAGAGTTTTTCTCTCTTAAAGAGTTTTAAATTGCCTCTTATAAGCTGCAGTCCAATATGCTCACATTTTCAAGGTTAGCATCTCTGAGATAATATTCATAGCTAAGATTTACTGAGTATTCTACCCTTTGAGAGGCACTGTGCCAAGCGTTTCATTCTTTATGTTACATTAATCCTGACAATGACTCTTAAGGAGTAGGTATGATCATCACCATCATGTTACAGATAAAGAATCAAGGCTCAGAATAGTCAGTGTACTTACAATAAACGGCAGAGACTGGATTTGAACCCAAATCCAGACTCATTAAAAGAAACAAAGAAAAAAACAAAAACCCTTACGAACTATTTTTAAAGACCTGTTCCAGGACGGTCGGTTAAGCGGCTGCCTTCAGCTCAGGTCATGATCTCAGGGTCCTGGGATCAAGCCCCGCATCGGGCTCCCTGCTCAGCGGGAAGCCTGCTTCTCCCTCTCCCAC